TCGGATAAATAAATGGAGAATTAAACGGCCATTATAAATATCATCTTTTTTTTTATTAAAAGAAATTTCAAATGTTATGAATAAATTACATAATTTTTATCAAAGTTAATGCATTTTTTATTATCACCGTTATCGCGGATGTAGCGTTTAACTTACATTTTTTATCTATCTACGTTTCGTTATAATCAATATATTATAAATTTTTATCTGTATCTCACATACGTACGCATACACATTCGTTGAAAAAGGGATCAAGAGGCAACATTCACATTAATTACAGTAGAATCTATAGATCATGGAGTGAAAGCTTTATCGTATTTGATTGCTTCATATTCATCTGCATACGTTCAGATTCTGTCCACTGTTTTTTGCCCTTATTTTACAGCACTCATACCTTATTTGCCAGTTAAAGTAAGATATTTTTCATTAATAATATAAAAAAGAGATACTTAATCTATTTGCTTTGCAGAAATATGCTAAGATTTCTAACTTCAACAAATTTTTTTTCTCATTAATGTCTTACTTGTTTTTTTTTTTAAATCACTTTGGCATATGTCATATATATATATATATATATATATATATACATATATAAATTATACATAAATATAAAAAAATAATCTCGTGGTAAAAGAAGTAAATTCGCAATCCATTCCCGTAATTCCTTTTTCCAAGTTTTCGTAATACGGAGCCTGGTTGCAGCAAGTGAATAAAAGGATTAATGGATTTTTTTTTTTCCTACGCTTGTGGATTAATATCACCTTCCATATTCACGAGAGATATTAAAATTACAATTATTCAATGTAATACAAGATCTCCATGACTTGATTATGTAGATGAATGAACAACGATGCCTTTTCAACATGGATAAATTTCAAAATGCTACGTTGTGTTATTTAAAGTTTTTTTCTCAGATTTACCTATCGATTTTTAATATTTTTTCCGAGTTGAATGCATCTGATTTAGAAAATGACATTGTACCAAAATGTGACCAGACAGAATATTAGAGGAGAGTAAAATTTAATTTCAAAATGTCATTTTACTTTTATTAAATATTTAATTATTCCACGTATACATATTTATTTATATTTGCATTATCTTGGGTTGTTATTTCGCCAAATTAACTGTTTTTATTATATCTAATTGCAAAGGATTGCAAAATTTAGATAATTTTGTAAATTAACCCAAGCTCTAGAGAAACTCTACTGATACTACTAACAATAAGCATCACAATTAACAATTTTGCTAGACTAAAACAAAAAAATAACTTACACATGAAAATTATTCTTTGTCCGAATGAACGAAAAATAAAGGAACCAGGGCACCTACCATGGAACAAGTCGGAATGGATTCCGATCGGAGTTATTCAATTATTCCCTAGATTTCTATTGTGTTTTCTAGGGAAATGAAATAATTCCGATCGGAATTCAGACCGACACATTCCATGACAGATACCCAAGAGGATAATCCTGTCATTCTATCTAATATTAAATAGAACTGTTCAAAATTAGAAGGTCGTTGAAAATTTCAATTCTTCTATTGATACTATTCAACTGACAAAAGTTCTTGCTTTTTTCTTGAAACTTTCACGAGAATTAGAACGAAAATCAACGTATAAAATAGAACGAAAATAGTAGTATATCGTGAAGAACGATCTGTTTTATTTCTTGCAATTTTACCAATCAGTCTTGGATGCGTTCTAAAACTCGATTCTGTCGATCCAAGTATCATTTTATTCTTGTGATTCACCGAATGTTGAACAAGGATAAAAGATACTTGGAGTTGACAGAATTGAATTGCATCCCTGCAAACAGTTGCAAAGTAAAATCTAAAAAACAGCAAATCATCGAAGAATTCAGAAGATAGAAAGTAGCGTAGAAAATATACATACTACACGTGTAGTGACTTCCTTTTTTCTTTTTTCTAATATAATAGATTATTTGTACTAATGAAATTATTATTATTATTCATTAATAGAATTTACCAACAGAGAATTTGTATATTTTATATTACTCTTTCAAGCAATTTAAGAATATTTTTCTCTTCGAAAATAAAGATAATAAAATATTAGAATCTGGAAAACTAAAAAATGCATTCGTGCATTCTTTCCTTTTGTCACATTTTTATATAAACGTAATATAATACTGTGGTATATCATATCTCTTCCAAAACAGAAAAACCAGAGAAAATATCTGAAAATTTTATTGGCGAATGGAACCAATCGTTTTAAAAGACTCCTTATGCGGTTTCACGATATAAAGTTTTGTCGAAGAAAAATGAAGTGGAAAGAATAAAGAGGAGAAGTAGGCGAGGAAAGAAATAAAAGGGTTTTACAAAGGAATACCCGAGAGAGATTCTGTACAGCAAAGTGACAACTATATGCGCGCTTCGACATTATGAGTTATCTAGCCTGCAGCAACACCTGCGCTTTTACTCAAATTTCACCGACGAGTCGACATGTAACATTACACGCGATAGAAATATTTCCCACAAACTAATACATATTTCAAGTACTATCACATTGCCCAAGCAAAAGAAATATTGATACGTAACAGTTAGATAATTAAAAGTTAGATAACAATGTATTTGCGAAAGAGAGAAATGAACTGAAATTGAAAAATATCTATTTAAAAAACGGAATTAAAGAAGAAAATTTGTGCACCGAAAGCTTTTGTCTTACTTTATATACAACTATAATACGTGGATCAAAACTTAGGACGGCTTTAATTTGTATTAAAGGCAGATAAATTTCTTCCAATTTAAGAAAAGTCATGCAAAGGAAGAAGACAGATTAGTTTAGTCTGTCCTCCTTCTTTGCATAACTTTTCCAATTTTGTCGATCAATCGACAAGGATATAACTTACATATATAAAGCGCTTAAGGGAAACTATTTAAAATAACAAATTCGCGTTCGGCGAGAGGAAGTAAAAGTTGCTCGTAAACTAGAAAACTTTCTACGAAATACGATTTTTCGCTTGCACTCGTGCTCATTCGATATATCTATCATTTGATATATCTATCGTTTGCGAGATGTTAAAAATTTAATGAGCTTCGTGTAAAGCTTGTAATCCTCGAAATGGACGTTAAATGTTGCATGAGGGAAGCTTTTGCTTTCGAGTGAGAGCCGCTGTCGAGCTAGAAAGACAAATGCTTTTAAATTCGATTTTACTCGTAATTGAATCTCGGCTTTACTTTCGAGAGATGTGATATTTCTTGCGACTATATATGCAAGGAGAAGTGTAAGCAAATGCAAATTTTGCCGAGTGCCGCATCAATCTCGCGCGGACAATTTTCGCATGAAGCTCGAGATAAATATAATCTGTAAGCGCGCGTGTAATCAGATTCCTTTTTTTAATCCTCGGAAGTACCGCACGTATCACACGTTCATTACTGAGGAGAATGTTCTTATCAGGAAACAAGAATTAACCTTGCTTGAACAAGCAAAATTGTCTCGCCAATTTTTAATCACGGGCATAAACGGGAATGATACAAGAGAAAGAAAAAGCTTGACACACTTCCCTGTACTGTTCACATAATGATATATATACATTATACGGTTTTACGCTACAGTTACGGCCAGTTTTTGCGTTGAAGGCTCTTCTCTCCGCATATACATGTATACACACACACACACACACACACAGGGTGTCTGAAATTTAAATATCAAAACTTCAGGAGCGTGTAAAAGATCGATAAACTAAAAAAAGTTTTGTAGAGTTTTGTATACTCATTTTTGTTACGTTTTAGAAAATATTGCAAAAAAGATGAAACGTAGTTTCCATTTTTGTACTTTTTTATTACTTTATTCATGTTGTATTTATTCACTTGTTTAATGTAGATATTGTTTAAAATGTTGGCCTCTTGCAGGAATGCAAGCAGATCATCAGTATGGACAGCTCGTGTTGCAGCCAAACACTGATCTAGTGATATTTAGTACACCGCAGCTTCGATTCGATTTCTCAATTGTTCTCTTGAGTTGATTGACAACGAATAAACTTCCTGCTTTAGGACCCTCCACACAAAGAAGAGAAGTCCAGTGGTGCCAGATCAAGTGATTGGGGTGGCCAAGACACTACTCTTTCACGTCCAAGAACGAAGCAACTACGTTTGGTCTTTTTTGCGGTTTTTTTTTTCAAAACAAAGCAAAAACGAGTATATTTCTACAGAACTTTTTTTCTTAATTTACCGATCTCTTACACACTTCCAAAGTGTTAACATTTCAATTCCAGACATCCTATATATGTATTAAAGCACACAGTTTTAATCGGGTATTAGCGACTTCTCAACAAGACACGTGTATTTATTATTAATTCTACATAAATTAACATCCCCCAAAAATAGACTTTGGTGCCTCGGGATAAGAGACTTGTAGCGTCTTTCAATTTTTGAACATGGCCGGAGACACTACCGCGTCTCCTGATACTAATGATAGTAATAAAAAAGTAATTGTTTTAACGTTTAGAAACTGTGAGGAAAATCATTATTTCATTATTTTGCTTTATAACATTACATATCTTTTACTGATTAAATTTCCAACTACAATTTCTTTAAAATAAAATATAAGACATGATTATTTACATTTTCTACATTTAACTTGTCTAAACATTTTTCAATTGTCACATTATTAATACATTTGATACTATGAAACTACAATACGTAGTGAATGAAAAATGAATGGAAAAAGTTTGAAATAAAGGGGCGTGTAAAAATATCTCTGGATATTCTATATATTTTGTTTGCGACTGCGCATCTCCTTTTTTTAGCAAAAAAAAATGCAAATTTTATTATAGAATTCAAATGAACCAAATCTAAATTATAATGTAAATTACAATGAGAGAACGGAGTATACTTTTCTTTATGACGATCGTATTCGCACGAATGAAACAAAATATTAAAAATATTAATTGTAAATAAATTAACCTTTAAATTTAATATGCTTCTAATGCGTTGCGCTGATTGCTTAACAAATATATTTAAAAAATTTGATTGTTACAACTTACCATTTAGCTTAACAACGATCGCTCCTTACTCTTGCTTTTCGCGTTTTCGGTGGCGATTCTCAATTTCCCACGGTGGTTTGCGGAACATATCGCACCGCTAAAATAGAAAAAAAAAACCTGTTCGCGATGTTCACGCGGTGTTTCGTAAAATCGCGCCTAGTAAAGCGTCGATTATTTTAAACAATTTAAACGATCCCGCTTATCTGTTTAATAATAGGAAACGATGTTCCATCGATCCATTATAGTATTACTTTTACACCATCGTCTCATGTATATATAATAGATATTATTTATAATAGATCAGTGTTACTCTGCGCGTTACACTATATATCTCGTAATAATTTTGTTTAACAGTGAGAGAAGAGATAAGCAGTTTCTAGCTATAGTTTGTCTATATAATATCACTTATCACAAATAATGTCTCATTATGATCGACGTGCTCGCGATATAATGTCTGAAGCACCCGTATCACTGGCATTCGATACGGTCTGACTATGATTGACTCATATCACTTACAATTCGCGTAACGATTGACTATAATCAACTTATATATTGGTTACGTCCGATATATTGATAGATAAGATGAAGAAAGTGACTCGCAGCTTGACTGCTCCCGAAACGGAGCAATATCGAATACATGCTTCCTTCGCTTTGCAAAATCCGGACTGCAAATTTATTCAATATTATTTTCATTCGTCATCTCATTTCTTTGTTACCGTTTTGTCAAAAATTTTTTAAAAATAATTTTTTAAAAAAATATGAAAAATCGTCATGATAAATTGATCGCATCACTGATTATTCCGCACTGATTAGCATTCGCGATTTACTTAATGGTCCGCATCCGTTCTCAATCTATCGCAGTGACGGGCATCATTGGAAGAACTCTTGAATTGAAACACGATGACCACGTTGAATCACGTCCGCTCTTTACCCTGAGGGATTGTTCTAAAGCTTGTCTCTTATGAAAAATGAACGCTCGACCGTTGGACACATACGAAGATGATTAATTTTGAGCGAACGGAATATAAGAATTGAATACATCATAAATAAAATAAATCACGTGAATAATTTGTTAATTAAGAAATTCTTCAGGTTTAGAAAAAGTTGAAAAAAAATTCGAAAATTAAATTAAAAAATTTTTATAATTTAATAATTTAAAAAGACAAAAAAGAATCGTTTGCCGACCATACATCTTTTCTTATTAATCTCATTATGTTAATTGTTGATTTCAGCATAATCTAGCGAGCTATTATCAACAAATAATAAACGATTTAAAAAATTGTCATGAGAATTTAATTATCTTTATGTTATCCGAGTAATATGAAAAGTTTCTATTTAGTGGATCATACGTATTACATTACTCACTCTGTTCCAAATTTAAATTCCATCTCGTCTTATTTTTCAAGAATTACAAGCGACAGCTATTCCAATATTCCAATATAAAGTAGAAAGAATTTAATGCCATTGCGAAAGAGTCGTTATCGTTACGAGAAATTCGTCAACAAAGAACAAAGCCGCGTGTCGTACTACAAATTCTCCACTATGTTTTCAATTAAAGAGGCTTTGTTGAGAATCGGAGTCGTCGATCGTAGAATGCACACGTTCTCGTTAAAATGAATGTCATATTAAATGCCATCTGATCACGGGCTCTATCGAACTTGACTCTACGGATGACGACGAGTGTCCTCGTTCGTGGCCGTCTATTCCCGCGAGAGAGAATCCTTGTTCTAGAATTCACTCCTCGTCGCTGATACACTTTGTAGTAAAATCCAACAAACGTTTCCGCGTAAAACGATCTGTAAACTTTTCACGTTTAAAACAAGTATCATATCTCAACACTGTGGTGAGATACGTTCAAACTCGGAGCTGACGGATATCGAGCCGATACCGAGACCGAGCTGTCGGTGGTGAGCGCAATTCGACGACGAGCTCGGTGACGACGAGATCGATGAAATTCTTCTGTTTAAATCGAGATCGCGATTACGGTACTCGTGGCGCTTGAGTTTCGATCGAACAGACGAAGTTGGAAAATGCGAGATAAATGTTAAGTGAGAAATACGAGCAGGCCGAGCCGAATGACGACAGCGAGCGAGGAGCGTACGCCGGCTTTTACGTACGGACGCACCCCCGTAGTGGCGGCAGGGCGCAGGATCGCTCTCTCCAATGTCTCCGGGGGTGGCTGTGTGGCGCATGTGCGGTAAATGCACAACAAGAACGCTGCATGCGAAAGCGCGTAGTCGTAGCCCCGTTCCGTCGCGCGACCTGATCTCCTATCCCTCTCGCTTCTTCCGGATCCTCTTTTTTTTCCTCTTTCCTTCTTTACTGCCATACCGCCCTTCTTTTTATCCCACTTCCCTCAACTTTATAAATTTTTTTTTTCGCCTCTATTACGCATGCACTATGATGCACTTTTTATTTTCCCGAGATTACATTAATAATGACGAGAATTCATATTGGTCTCGCGCGATTGAAGAAACTTGGTTAAAGTTTCTTCCTTTCCCATCATTCTTCTCATTTTCGCGTTTGCTATTCTTGTTCGCGAATCTTTTTATTGCGCAACTCGGAGCTCGCGCGAAACGACGACTGTCAAAAGCGCATCAATTTCCTTTCTTCAAGTACGCGATCATGCACTATGATATACCATATAGATAAACCAGATATAGATAAAATCATGAAATATACATAAGAGAGAGCCAGTAGCATTCTTAACGAAATTCTTATTTTTAAAAGAGATTTACATTAACGTTCTGATTACATTCCTCTCTTTTCTAAATGTATATCTTTTAATTCAGATTGTAATATGTAGCAAAGTAAATAAATATAAGTTATAATTAAATTTGCAATTAAGTTTCTGTTACAAGTTATCAATTACTCGTTTTATTTTATTTTCTTTGATATTGTTTCAAATGGTTTAAAATGTTTACAAGAATCGTAAACTTATAATGAGTTGATACAAAATGCAAAGAAATCGATAGTTGATAAACGTGTCAACCATTTTTTGTATTAGATCCGTTTATATGTCGACCTAAGTCTCGACCTACGTTACATTATTATCTTTTACAATCATAATATTGTATACAAAATGATTGAAATATTTTTTAGTTGATGCCTATTTTCATTTTGTCGATGACGAAGGCATTAAGTGATCAACATGTGAAATGGGAGAACGTTTCAAATTAATTTAAAATATTTATATCCTATCGCGCTAAGAGATATCTGCTTGATATTTTCCTTACAATTATAAATATAAATTCTAGCTATTTTTACAAATGTTCGATTGCTTCTAAATTATCCCGGATAATTTCAGATATCATAATCGCGTTTTACATTGTGTGTGTGTGTGTGTGTGTGTGTGTGTGTGTGTGTGTGTGTGTGTGTGTGTGTGTGTGTGTG